TTATCCTTACCTTTAAAAAATTTCGTCCCCTATTTTATTTAACTTCTTAAGGTCAAAATATTTTCAAACTTCGAATTTCATATTTATTTATATGTAATCAAGCGTCTAAAAAGTTGTCATTTCAAAATCTTGAAACTTATTTTAAAATGACGATACTTCCATACAACCTTTCCACCCTTTTTTTGCATTAAATGGTAGCCTATGTCCTTTCTCAGGGATGGAAAATTTCAAAACATTAAAAATCCTTACGTACCCTGTATGTATATTTTGGAAAGCGAATTTGTAAGAAAGTACCCAGATTTTTTCAAAACATTTAGTGAAATACCCGGCCGTTATGAATCACGTCACAAAAACGATTTAGTACAACCCGTTTCGAAATTAAAAATGCATAGTTCTGGTCCCTATTCCATGGCAATAAAAGTATACAATACAATACCTAATGTTATAAAAAATGAGAATAGAAATAATAAATTTATTATCCTATTAAAACAAATGTTGTTAAATAAAGCTTATTACAAAATAATAATAATAATCTCAGGACAATTCACACAGCGCCATCTAGTCCCAAGTTAAGCTAGCTAAAGCTTGTGTTACGGGTACTAGATAACTGATACAAGTACATAGATAATTTTTTTTCGTAAATACATACATAGTATACATAGAAAACACCCAGACCTATACAAACAATCATACTCATGAATACAAATGTATGTGCCGTGCGAGGAATCGAACCCGCGACCTATGAAAATTAACGCGAAACATGGACTTTTTTTATATTACTTCTTAAATTTAGGTACTTTTGTACCATCTAAAGACATGTCAGTCCCATTGTACCCTAAAAATTAACACACAAACTATTGTACCGATTTCAGTGAAATTTGTTATACAGATAGTCTATACCTTGAGTAAATTTGGAATAATGTTCACGTAAGGATCTCTTCAAGGTGAATTTGGTATGACATCTTCTGAGGCCGACAGGAAGTGCATTCCAAAGATTAATGGCCGAAATAGTGAAGGATTGAGATGAGAAATTAGAGAGATGAGAAGGAGTATACAGCAGGAGATTATTATATATATGACAAGCTTTTGCCCGCGGCTTCGCTCGCGTTAATTTATCTTCTTAGGGGTGGAATTTATCAAAATCCTTTCTTAGGGGATGCCTATGTCATAGTAGCTTTATGCATGCAAAGTCTCAGCCCGATCGGTTTAAAATTAACATTTCATACAAACTGTCATCCCTTTAGGCGTAGAATTAATCAAAATCCTTTCTTAGCGGATGCCTACGTCATAACATCTACCTGCATGCCAAATTTCAGCCCGATCAAACCAGTGGTTTGGGCTGTGCGTTGATATACCACTACGTCAGTCACCTTTGAGTTATATATATTTAGATATATATTGAATACAACTAATACCTTAATACTAATGACATTAGATCGAATTTGCTATCTCAGAGCGGACCTACGCAAACATAAAACTAATTAATTTCCCTGTACCTACCGCTAAAGGGCAGAGTCATGCCTTTACATCGTTTGCTGATCGAAATTGATCATAAAGTTAATCAAGGTCTATCGACAGCAAGGCAAGCTATTACAACACCAATATACCTCGCCCGCCGGCCAGCATAAATTATCTAAATTGATATTATAAACGGCAAACAGAATTTATTATTTATTTCAGATGACATGTCATCTGAAATAAATAAAAAAATCTGAAAGGCGGCATCTGAAATAATTATAAATATTTATTTATTTATTAACTTTAAAAACTTTAATTTTTTTTTATTACTATATAATTAGAATGGTACATAAGACATTAATTTTAAATTATAATATTATAGATTATTCCATTTTAATATACCCAAAATTTGCATGCCCGTAAATTGGGGCAATTAAACAGTTGCCAATAATATTATTACCTGGACATATTATAATATCTAACTGTATAATACGCAAATAAATAAATTTCATTTCATTTCATTTCATGCACGTATATATAAATGAAGGTGCACGTGGCGGACTCAACACCTTGAGGCATTTTCACCCAGAAATTATTGCGCAAAACATGTGGGGTGTCCAGAATCCATATTTTAAATACAAATGTAAAAATAATAATAACTTTAATGTGACTAAGTATAAATACATGAATAATACACATATATTAAACATTATATATGATATATTCAATACAATTAATACCTTAATACTAATGCCATTAGATCGAATTTGCTATCTCAGAGTGGACCTACACAAATATAAAACTAATGTATACTAACTGATATTATAGAGCAAGCCGATTTATTATATTTATTTATTTCAGACTATGTACATGTTATTATAAATATTGATTTATTTATCAAAACTTTAATGCGCAAATACAAAAATAAAGATACGTCTTGTATAAAATATCTAAGCTGATATTATAAATAGAAACCGATTTTTTTTAATTATTTACTGGTTGTGCCCGGACTTTGTCCGCGTGGAATTTAACGTTATTTTTTTAAAATAAAAGTAGCCTAAGTTATTCCTTATTACATCGGTCAAAATCGGTCCAGATATTTCAGAGATTAGTCTGAACAAACAGACAAAAATTGTAAAAAATGTTATTATGGTGTATGTACCGTATTTATATATGCGTGTAGTAAAAAACGGTTATTTCGATATTACAAACAGACACTCCAATTTTATTTATATGTAATAGATATTGCCACGAGGACGAATTTAGGGGTAATAGCTAGTAACACAGATAACAAAATATTACATAGTAGTAATAAAATATAGATAGTGCAATACAAATTTTACAGCGAAATTCGTTAGAAATTTCAGTCTAGAACAATTGTGATACTTAACCTATATTCCGTGTACAGAAAAGAAACAACATGCACTGTAATAAACTGACTGAAACAATACTGTATAGTAGTATAGTAATAGTAATAATAATCTCAGGACAATTCACATAGCGCCATCTAGACCCAAGTTAAGCTAGCTAAAGCTTGTGTTATAAGTACTAGACAACTGAAATACATAAATAGTTTTTTTGTAAATACATACATATTATACATAGAAAACACCCAGATCGATACAAACAATAATACTCATGAATACAAATGTTTGTACCGTGCGGAGAATCGAACCCGCGATCATCGGATAGTAAAGCGGCATGTTAAACACTAGACCACCGAGGCTATCTCTCTCTAAACAAATATTTTTAGTTGTACCTATATTTTTTTTCTCTCCACAGAGGTCTAATCTAATTTTCTGTCTGTTGGGCCGACAGGTCAGATCAATCGGTTCATTAGTTGGGTCCCACTAACCCGTCAACGGACTACGAAAAAAAACGGGAAAAAGTCTTATATTTCGGTCACTATTCTTATACTTGCTTAAAATTTGACGGGAATTTATATACGTTCAAAAAAGGTTTAGGCTCCTGGGCGGTAAGATTCGAATTTGGTGCTCTAGTATCTATAATAGTTAGTTTAGGACTAGATGGCGCTCTGTGAGTTGTCCTGATTTATTGTTATTGTAGAATTAATAATCCTATTAAAAGGGAAAAAAAAGCATTTTATTAATTTAACTGAACCCGCAATAATCTGAAAGTAAGACTGCTTAATCGCTAGACCACCGAGATCGTTAAAATATAAACAAACCTTTACATATTATATACTAGCTGTACTCGTGACTTCGTCCGCGTGAAATTTAACTTAATATTTTATTTAGAAATTTTTTAATTTATATTTCTAAAATAAAATAATTTTTCTAAAACAAAATAGCCTAATTTACTCCTTATTACATCAGCTACCTGCCAATAAAGGTCCCGTCAAAATCGGTCCAACCATTTCAGAGATTAGCCGGAACAAACAGACAGACCGACAAAGATTGTAAAAAAATATTTTGGTGTATATACCGTATTTATATTCATATGCATGTAGTAAAAAATGGTTATTTCAATATTACAAACGGACACTCCAATTTTATTTATATGTATACTTAAATAGCCTTGGTTTTCCTTTAATAAATAAATAATAATCAATCAATATATGTAGGTCTATTATAGATTCTTATGATATATCAAATCTATAAGAAGAACTAAGAATGAACTAATCTTTATTTATAAATAACACAGTACTAATAATAAAATAATAAAATAAAATAATTTAAAAGAAATAATAAAATTATTTAAAAGAGCAACATGTAAGTTTCTTGCTCGTTCTTCTTGTGATGAGACAGCTTTCCGAATGAGCGGTAGATTAAAAAAATGTAATGACTATTCATAAGTGCTTCAATGTAAGTTTATTTGAATAAATGATTATCTATTCTATTCTATTCTAAGTACAAAGTTTTACATTTAGCTCTGGATATCGAATTGAGTAAACCTGTGCAGCAAAAGCCAGAATCTTTCAGCATACCTGTACTTTTAACCTGAATAATGACATTAATTTGTAGTTAAATTAAAAAAATATACTTGTATGTTTTTGTATATCTTATATATAAAATTCTCGTGTCACAGTTTTCGTTTCCATACTCCTCCGAAACGGCTTCACCGATTCTTATGAAATTTTGTGAGCGTATTGAGTAGGTCTGAGAATCGGCCAACATCTATTTTTCATCCCCCTAAATGTTAGGGGTAGTCCACCCCTACATTTTTTTTATTTTAAGGCTATTAAAATTGTTTTAAAATAAAAAAAAATTTGCAATTTTTGTATGTCTGTCTGTATGTCTATCTGTTTGTTCCAGCTAATCTCTGAAATGGCTGGACCGATTTTGACGGAACATTTATTGGTCGGTAGCTGATGTAATAAGGAGTAACTTAGGCTACATTTATTTTAGAAAAATTCTCTACATAACTTTTTTGTTAAATTCTACAAGTACAGCTAGTCTTAAATAAAATCAATATAAACGTCATACTAAGACACTGATAGGCTTCACTTCAGTTCACTAATAACTACATATATTATTATATTAGAACCTTTTTCAGTATTTAAAATCGGTCTTCTCTTACAGAATGGTGGGGTGCCCGTACTTTCTGCTGTGACACGGACGAGTGCAACTCTGCGTACACGCAATATCCTGCGACGGGTTTGCTCATGGTCACACTAGCTGCTCTGCTCGCGCACTGACCGCGCGAGTAAATTACTCTAATTTGACTGGGGAAGTAGATGGAAAGATGATTTTTTTATACATTTAAATAATTCAAAAAATAAAAGAGAACTTACAGAAATGGACGAGTACGATGCAACCGAAGAATGTAGTTAAGTATTTGGTTTTATTCAATTTAAATTAAATAAAACAATTATTAAGTTGAACATTCCATGAAGAAAATTGTAATTTTGTATAATAGTTCTTTTTAAACAATGTTGATTTTGATATATTTATTTGCGTTACTTTATTATAATTACAATAGTTAAATTGTTATTTATTAATTAATAATTTTAATGATGTACAAATAAATTGGTTATTTAACAAACTTAAGGTTACATTTCGAACTTGTTGAAATACAACAAAAAGTATAAATAAAAACAATATATGTCAATGAGTTTTATAATTTAAAATAAACATTTATTTATGTAAAGTATATTTTATTCTGTAATGTGCTAATATAAAAATAGAAATTAATTAAATAATATATTCTAATCACAATTTGAAGTGGATTAGTGTAATCAAACATTAATATTTATTATCTTTTTTAAATAAATATGTTTATTAAATCAATGTGATTACAATTTTTTTTTAATAATAATTAATTTAAATATATTTATTTAAAGAAATAAATTAATATAAAGATTTCATTATTCTAACTCACTTTAAATTGAGAATAGAATATGGTATTGGATTAATTTATATGTTTTTTATTAACTATACTATATTATTTCAATAAATAGTAAATGCATTATAGTTACGACATTTTATTTAAATTTTACTGCAATTATACGTAGTATCTAACGATTTACAATTAATCAAAAGTACTTCATAAATTCAATAATTTTATTGTAACAAATATTTAATTTATATTTAGCTAAATTTTTCGATAGATGGCAAATGCATTATTTGTACATTTTACTATTTATTTATTTTCTCAATAAATGCAATAAAACCTATATTTTTATTGCATTTATTCATAGTATCTAACGGTTTATGATTGAACAATGACACTTAATTAATTTAACAATTTATACAAATAAATAAATATATATATAAATAAATTGTTAAATTCCCAATTGTATAACAAACACGTTAAACAAACGTATCGAATCTGTTTCATTGAAATAAGTGGATACCAACTCAAATAAATGAAAACCCATTAGTGTCGGCTCATTGAAGCTAACATGTGGTATAAAACAATTGTGTACAACAATATAAATTGTATTACTGAGGGACAGAATCTATTTCAGTTAATTTGTTATGTGGAGCACTAAAATAAAGCCTATTAGTCAAATATTTGATTATGGGTTTTATGTTGAATAAACTTTTGTTTAAAAGTATTATCTTCATATGTAATGAGTATATAGAAGACAGATAGTTCATTTTATTTTTCTTTATACATATGTAATAATGATTTTGAATTGAATTATTTCTTATGTGTTAGTAATTGAATTAAAACAACTGTTTAAAGAGACCGTGGATTTTTACCACAGTTATTATCTTTTAATTACATAAATGTGAAATTCACAAGCGTTTGTTAACTCTATTTTAATTGTATCACTTTGTTATATTAATAATTAAAATGTTACATTCATTCAATGTCACATTATAGAATACTATTATGTTAAAAATGTCAAATACATTATTTTTATGTACACTTATAATTATGATTAAAAGTTTAGTGCACGGAAATTTGCTTCCATTTTCAAACTGTAATTTAAATAAATCGTTAAACTCATCAAACTAATTAACATTAAATATAAACAATGAAAATATTTTGAATAAATCATTATACTTAATTTATTTAAATTACAGTTTGTATAAACGTAGCTAGTGTTTATAAATAGGGAATATAATTCACAATTTACGCTTTATTAACTATCACAGTCAAATTCTTTCTAAAGATAGTTGTAATCGTTATATAATTAAGATTTAGAACATAGTAATCTACATATTCATACACTGTTGGTTTACCAAGTGGATTATTAAACAAGTAACAAGTAACTTCATGATGCCTAATTCAGTTTAATATTAATAAAAAAACAAGTAATATTCCTTTTGTTATAATAAATTACTCTCTTTGTTACAGACAATATGAACAATTATTTAATGTGATGACTGATTTAATCTTATTGCATGATTATATTTGACCCAAAAAATTAGTGCTTGTTGGTAGTTTGTATTCACACGTTTCGACTTGTAAATGTAAACTTACAAGGATTATTTAAAAGAGCAACACACAAGTTTCTTGCTCGTTCTTCTTGTGATGAGACAGCTTTCCGAACGAGTGGTAGATAAAAAACAAATTGTTATGACTATTCAAAAGTGCTTAAATTAAGTTTATTTGAATAAATGATTTTCTATTCTATTCTATTCTATTCTATGAATATTTTTCTCTCTTAACGTTGATGCAATGAAAACATTTGTGATATAAATTATTTTAAAGGTATTTACTCTACGCAGAGACGGAACTTTGTGAATATAAAGCATTGTTGCGTACTCATCGTTGTTTCATTAAATATCTGTATGGTTTTCAAAATGTTCATTCATTGTTTCGCTTTTGTGGTCGCCCGAACAGATACTGTCTAATGCCAGTCGTAATGAACATAAATGATGTTTTCGTGAGGACGTTTTGGTGTTTACGTGGCTATAACAGAATACGCAGTGGTAGATAGTCATGTTTATTGCCTGGCTTTAATACCATCCCTAGCTCGACAACGACAGGAACATCTGGTGTCGAGGCTCGAAATGTTATGGGTTATATTCAAATGTAACCCAAATATGCGAAATATTTTTCCTCTATTGAATCTATTGAGACAACATGCTGTTTCAAATGGATTTTATCTTTTGATATACCCACGAAATTATACCATTTGAAGAGTATATTCGTTAATATAATTATTTCCATCTATCCATAAATGATATGGTTAGTATTCTCGCGACACATTGTACTACTAAAAGTATTTATATTAAGTTTATTTGAATAAAGATTTCTTATTTCTATTTCTAATAATTTAGTCACTAAATTAAAACAAAAACAACCTGATAACTAACTCAATACAAGGTTGCTTCCTAAATAATGATTTACAAACTGATAGGCTTTATTCAATAAGTATATATAATATACTAGCTACTCGCCCCGGCTTCGCACGGGTGTACATGTATTATACATATAAACCTTCCTCTTGAATCACTCTATCTATTAAAAATACCGCTTCAAAATCCGTTGCGTAGATTTAAAGATTTAAGTATACATAGGGACAGACAGCGACAGCGACTTTGTTTTATACTATGTAATGATGATTATATATCATCATTACATCATCATACATAGTCAGTCTGTCCATCCCTATGTATGCTTAAATCTTTAAACAAACATGTTTTATCCTGGAATACTATGATTATTACAATTTTAATTTACAATACTATGATTACTATGCCGGGCAATTACTATGATTATCATATGCCACTGATTTTAGAAACAAAATACACCCTTCAAAATGTGAACCCAGCTCATTATTACCTATTACCTTGTTATATTAAAAATTATCTTCATATTGAAAATAAATTATAGTGATGTATATTTCTTGTTGCATCATACTGATCTGTAAAATTACATTGAAATTTAAACTATAAAGTGTTACTTTATTTATTATTATTCATTACTCATAAATTCATATATTAATATAATTAAGTACTGTAATCTGAACTTTCAGAATGAAAATATGCAGAAAATATATTTTAACAGTCTCTAACTGTTATTTATTATAGAATTTTAGTATTTTTTTCTATTTACGATATTTTCCATTATAAACTCTTAATCATTGTGAACTGTACTTGAGTAAAATTGAAACTTGAAGAGGTACTGATACCTATGCTGTTATATAGTTTTTTTAATATCTGACCCTAATGAATTAGTGCACGTTGGTAGTTTGTAATCACATTTTTCGACTTAAAAATGTAAAGTTACAACGATTATTTAAAAGAGCAACACGCAAGTTTCTTTCTCGCTCTTCTAGTGATGAGACAGCTTTCTGAATGAGCGGTAGATTAAAAGTATGATAACTATGACGATTCAAAAGTGTTTAAATTAAGTTCTATTGAATATTACTTTCTATTCTTTTCTATTGTATTCCTCTTCTTATTCGATAGGCTACAGAACATCTGCCTATCACACCACTACATAATGACCACGCATTATGTAGTGGAGTGAGTGGTAGATGTTCTGTAGCGTATCGAACCTGCCGTACAACGGTTCTCTATTTCTCGAAATAGCATAATTAGTATCATAAAATTGATTATGAAGTTTACCTAATTCGCATATTTTTATTCTGAAAGCTTAGAAAATAACGAATAATAAGCTATACTGTTAAAACGCTTTATAATTTTATCACGTAATGCTATTAAAAGCTGAAATATTCTAAATTATCTTAAATTTATATAATAAATTATACATAGATATAGTTAAAATGTAAGTAAGAACATAATAGGGAAATCACTTAGTGTGTATTAACAAAATAATATATAAGCTTATGAATACACCGGAAAATAGTGCAACAAGAAACGAAATAATAAATATAGCTAGTTTAATATAATTTAAATAAACTTTAATTAATAAATTAATATTTATATTGTTAATTTTAAAATTAAAATCTTTAAAATTAATATTTAAATTATTCATAATCTTGATTAGTTTTAGTTTTTCTTTCATTATGCTTACAACTAGTCAATTAACGGTTGTTTAAAGTGAAACCTCAATATTAACTTTGGCTTTTATAGTACTTTATATAATACAGTCTATATATACTTTATTATTATGTTTATCTTAATTATGAATAATATAGTTCTGTGTTGAATTATTATTAGTTATTGGAATAAAAGTTATGCCAGAATAACTACCACAAACTCAATGAGTAAGAGCGCTACATCCTAAGTCTTGCCATCACTTACCATCAGATGAGGTGAGACCAAGCGCAATCCCATTATTAATAAAAAAAAATGAAATAAAACTC